AAACATTTAAAAAAAATTGATTAAACGCTTTAAAAACTCAATAATTAAGTTTAGAAGAGTTTGAAGAACATTCCATAACTAGGATCTTACATACATATGAGTATAAGATATTCTATATACTTTTTTCGTTTTTCCGTTAGGAGTGGAATGCTTATGCACTGACCACAATCCAGCTCCCGGAAGGTGAGTGCCCGACTCGCACGGATTAAACCACTCCCTTTATTCCTAGAGACGTTGTCCTACCTCGGGACTACGTTATATTACTTCGCGATAGGGTCTCTATTAGTCATTTAATACTTTCTTTGGTGTGACCTGCGTCCAGGCCCTGCTACTGCTGCAGATGATTAATCTTGCCAATCATCTTGGTGTGATACAGCTGCTTATTTCATCTGACTTCTGTCGAAGTCCACTTTTTCAATTTCAGAATGTGTGTCCCGGCTCCCACTACTAATCCGAATTAATTTTATTGCATAGAATTAGACTTTGATTTATAGTAAATAATAAACGCTATCTCATTTTTAAATTAACTATTTTATAGTTAGCTATATAGCTAGCACTATGTGTAACATATCAAGAGATTGTACTGCACTTTTTGTTCGGTCCAAGTAATTTACCACGCTAGAATAACAAAGTGCCCAGATAACAGAAATCATTAATTCCACAATTTTGTCTTTCATTAGGATTTTTATATGATTACATATATGACATGCCGTGAGGCTCAACATCAGGACCTCCTTACATTGTGGACATTGCATGAAGGATGATGAAGAGGAATCACCAATATACCTTCTTCTACAGTCTCCTGCTTTCGCAAGACATAGACTCTCCTACTTAGGGTCACATTTTTTCAATTCACTAAGAGAGCTAGATTATATTTCCATAGCTCCTGTCAATGGAGCTATGTCAAATTCTTTAGAGTATCACAATGGACCTACAGTCTCCTGCTTTCGCAAGACATAGACTCTCCTACTTAGGGTCACATTTTTTCAATTCACTAAGAGAGCTAGATTATATTTCCATAGCTCCTGTCAATGGAGCTATGTCAAATTCTAACTGGTTATAGGGACAGGTGTCAAATTCTTTAGAGTATCACAATGGACCTTATGGTCTAAGTGCGTCTTCGGACGGCCCCAGTAACCTAACCTAACCTACATATGACGATCATATCAGGTTACCTTAAGTATCTCTAAAACAAACAGACTTGTGCACAATATTAAATAGAGAAAATTAGTTACGTTAAGAGCTATTAGCAAACAAGCAATAAATTATAGAATTAAAAATAAAAAAAAAATATTTCATAAGTAGAAAAAGTTTAACAAAAAAAATTAATATTGCAAAAACTGTTTATTTTTTTCCTGTTAGGCACCCATATTCTGTCTAGTTTCTATCAGCTATTACTTATTATTATGACTGGTAATGTGAGCCGACGACAAAACATACTAATCAGAAATGATTTTGAAATCATCGAAGAAAACAAATTACGTTTTCATAAGAAGAAAACCAAAATAATGCTAACTGCTGACCCTTTTCTATGATTCAACAGTTAAAGTAAAATATGATCTGGGAGTTCTATAACAAATTAGGTTCAGCCAGCGACGAAATCGACGGAAATATCAAGAACCAGGAAGTACGTTTTAATTTCAAGGCAAAATTATTCCTACTGATTAGTAACTGTATTAACAGAATATGGATCTTTATAGTAGGCAGGTGGTTCATTTTAAA